TTCGGCGGATGAGATCGAGAGAAGTCCGGGTGCGGAGAAAGTGGAATTTTTCGGAGCCTCTTTATCCGGATCATCATCATCAACAAGCTCGAGTGGAGGAGCTCCAGCACCGCTGGATGGCCGATCTTCTCCGGATATGCCATCCGGATCCGACGCTTTCGTCTTGGTCAAGAACCTTACCGGCTTGACGTTTTCCTTGAAGAAGCGCTTCGATCAAGATAGCTACGAGATCGTCAAAGGCAAGCGCCTGTTTTCTTCGTGTTCTTCTTCCCTGTTTCAGAAATGCGCGCCCATCGAATTTCACTGACGGACTGTTCTGTATTCAGTTGGATCGTACGAGTTGGCGCCCAAGACTCAAGTGGTTCTCTCGGATCCTTATGCGGTCAAGGTGCTGAAGCCGCAGAGCGAGAGCGAGAAGCTCTCGCCACGAGACCGGGATCATTTGACAGGGATCCGGGTATACTACGAGGATTCCTCCGACTGGCCAAGTAATCGAGATTCTTCTTCCTTGGAGGAGGAGGAGGGAGAGTTGGACTCGATTTCGCGGCCGGTGATGCTAGCGACGTTTGGGCCAGATGTCCGGATCCCCGGGTCGACGGGGCTGAGTATTGGGAATGGAGCCTTAGAGGTCGTCGGCTTGAACCCGCCGAACGAGTACGGCTGCGAGCCGATCACTCAAGAGCCGGTTGTTGTTCACAAGAAGGAGCGCCCGGAGGACGTCAATGGCAAGGTCGTCCTCGTCAAACGCGGCCAATGCACGTTTGCCGATAAGGTCCAGAACGCGCTCTTGGCCGGCGCTAAGGCACTCATCGTCGCTAATCAGGACGATACTCTCTTGATTCCGACCTCCGATCGGATCCATACTAGGGACCCAAAGGAGGACTTGTCGTCGACTTCCTCCTCCGCCTCCGACTCGGCAGCTGATGATCAAGAAAGCTCCTCTGAATCTAATCATAGATCGAGCTTGGGGTCGGATGGCGACCAGGACCTATTGAACCTCAAGCTCCAATCGATCCCGCTCTTGTTCTGCACCCTCGAAACCGGAAGATCGATCGGCCAGCTCTTGGCTAACCGCTCGTCCCCGCCTCCTCCGACTCCTTCATCGTCCCAACATCCCCGCTCCAAAAAACTGCTGCTCGAAATCGTCGGGAACCCCCTCCACTTGCTCGATCATCATATCTCTCAAACCTCGACGATGACGCATCCCCAGTTCGTCGTCATTAATGGTTATAAATTGGCTAATTTACAGTTGAAATTTGTTTAGCCCTTCTTCTTTTTTTTTTTTTTGTTTCCTCCTCCTGCTTCGCCTCCTCCTCCTTCGCTTGATTTTCCTGATGTTATGCTTTTTTTTTTCTCTGGTCTTATCGGCTTTTTTTTTTTTTTTTTTTTTTTTGGTGGGTTGGAAGGGGCGGGCGGGAGCTCGGAAAAAAAACTCTAGAAAAAAAAAAACAGAAATGATATGTGTGTGTGTACATATCTTGCTACGTATATGTGTTCATCGCCGTTCCTGGCCCACTCCCTGCCCTCGTCCTTGGCTATTTTAGCTGCGTTATTTCGTCTTCGTTTTAGTCTGCACAACCTATCTCCATATATATACATCCCGATGATCATCTTCTGTTCTGTTCTGTCCTGTTCTTTCTTCTGAATACACTTCGAAACTTCTCTTTTTTTTGATGCAATGGATCCATATATGAAAGGCGGGCTCACATGTACATAAGAGATCGGCCAGCAAGACGTTGGCTGGTCTTGGTGTGCCAAGCGAAAATCCGGATGATGATTCTCATTGCTGGCTATCAATGGCGGCGTCTCCTCGTGAGCTCCTGCTGGTCCGCCTTTTTTCTCTCTCCATCAATGAATCTCTGCTGCTGCAGTGCTTGGATTCGGGTCGGCTCTAGTGATGGCTTACAAGTCGATGCTGTGCGAATTCCGCCAATTGTCTGGGTTCTCTCATGATTGGGACTCGGAAATTTCGCGTCATGTTCTTGCCGATTTTAGCGGGCTTCTCATGAATGGATTGGAATGTTCGGGTCTTTAAAAGCCACTTTTATTATAATCGCCTTTATAATTTGCCCCCCCCCCCATATTCAAATCAACTCAAGAGAACTTTGGATGACTATCTATCAGAATTCATTCAAATATGACTAATTATAAAGGGCCAGTATACAGTGGGACTCAATTTTTGAAAAAAATGTGCATTTTTTTTTCTGCCTTCTGCATGCACAAAACTTGACACATTCAAGTGGAGAGATCTACATAAAATTGTAAGGCTTCAGCCATTTTATGCTCCTGACTATGGCTTCTAGTGGTGATCTTCAACTTGGATGAAAGATAAAATTGAGCAAGATAAGTTCTGAAAAGTTCAGTTTTTTGTGTCCTATATATATTGGTACTTGCCCTAAAAATACAAAGGTTGTAAGGAAAAAAACAGTGGTGCATTATAAGAGTGTGTGTTTGACAACATATTATAATATGAAGGCACAATGTTGCCCCAGGATGAAGCTCACAAAGGTGCTCGACTCAGCTGGGATTTTTCTTTGACATTGAATGCCTCTTTTTTTTTTGAAGAAACTCAAAGAAGGTTGGCTGGGAGACCTTGATTTGTATGAATTGAACAAACTAGTTGATACATCATAGTTACCAACTATGGGCCAGTTATGCTAACCATAGCATTAACACAGAGTAACATAGCGGAACTCTGCTCACATTTGGTGTATTGCAGCAGGACCCCAGCAAGCCCTCCAATAGGGGGCTGTTGAAAAAGTTTTTGATTTTGGCAAAAATTGGAAATTCATACCTGTTTTCTGGGACATTGATACGGCCAATTTCAAGAGTATTCCCAGGCAAAAATCCCACAAAAAGAGAGGGGGCTTCCCAAATTGATTTGGAGTTTGGGGGTAACATCCCAGATTTTACTGGCTTTGACCAGTTCCACATACCTAAAATGTGCAATTTTAGGAGCACCTTTTTTGCCCAAAATGATATTTCATACCTTTTCAAGCTTTTTCAAGAGTGTGTTTTTGAAATTTATTGCCAATTTAGCATACCTTTTTCAACACTATCCCAGCGGGATTCCACCACAACTGTGATAACCCTACATGTGCAGGCCACAAAAAATGGCCCATTATGCTGTGTGACAGCACGTTTTAGTGGTTTTTTTTGGGCTGTTTTTGCTGCTATGTAGAAGCGCTGTAGCTCAGCATAGTGGGACTAATAGTGTGCTAACACTACAGTGTGGTGCACTGTTTTGAGGGCCACTACACTAAGCTAATGTCAGTGGGTTGTTTAGCATAACTGTCCATCACTGAAATAAATGCCCAGTATACATACAAAGAGATGTCCATGACACAAACTAGAGATTGTCTCCAGATATCCGTTATCCGCTGGCAGATACCCGCCAGCCCCAATAGATACCCGCCAGCGGGTGCGCATTTGGGTGCAGATGGTAGGGTTCCGACCTGGTGCCCCGGAGCCGGATTCTGTGCATCCCGCACCCTGACCCCGCGGATATCCGGCACCGAGCCGGGTTTCTCCGGATCTCTAGCGTAAATGTTTTTATGCTTTTTTGCCATACTGTTGTGAAAAAAAGGGGTTCAGGGCGGGAAGGTTGGAGGTGAGGTGCAGCAGCTGGGCCCCCGAGCGGGTTTGATGCGGGTAATCCCCGCAAATCCCCGACTTCTGGGGGTTTTAAGGATCCGACCGGATGCCGGATCTCTCTGGGTCGATCCCGAGCCCTGATCCGGTTTGCGGGTTTTCCGGATCTTGCCGGATCTGCGGGGTCCGGATCGGAACCCTAGCGGATGGCCCCTGTTCCCCAAAACCCTGGCAGATATCTGGGTATCCCCAAGGATACCCGAGGCCAAGAGGATGAGATGGCTGGCTGGAAGGGTTTCCTTCCAGCCAGCGAGGTACATGTACCTCATGCTGTCATTGTCGCCTGCATCTTTATTGCTTGTTGAAATTCAAAGGTTGGACAGTTGTTCAAAGAGATTGTCGTGCTTACCCGAGTGCCCAAGAAGCAAATCGGCCAATGTTTCAAGGCGCTCTCTGCTTCATTCGAGACATCTGCGGTTGGCAATGGCAGTGCTTTGAACACAACTACAGGCAAAGCCAGTGGTGCTGGCACTGAAGATCTGATGGCCCGTTTCTGCAGTCATCTTGGACTTCTGTTTTTTGTTCAAAGCGGTGCCAAGAGAATCACCATACTTCAGCAAGACATGGGTATCCTTGCTGTTCAAAGTCCTATCAGTGTAGCTAGTGCTTGTATCTACTTTGCCAGTCATCTTTATAACAAAACCAAGAGTGCAAAGGAAATTTCTGGTGTTGCCGGTGTCAGCAAGGTCACAATCAAAATCACACCTTGTCGACCGGAAGGATTTCCTTCCAGCCGGCTGCCTTGCCGCCCATTTAAAGGGTGGATATCTGTGGATACCCGCTTGGATACTCGCCTAGGCCGACGGATACCCGCCAGCAAGTGCGGATGCCCCATTCCGCTGAAAAACAGAGGGGATATCTGGATGGCCTGGGGCCATCTCTAACACAAACTACGGCTGCAAGGTTTTGGGATCTGTTGGGATGGTTGTGATTGATTTGTCACATTTTTTTTAACAAAGATTACAATTAATATGGGGTACATCATTTTGGGTACAATGCTAACTTGAGTGTGCTTTGCGCAGTAAATCAGCATACTTTTTGGTGATTTTTTCAATTGAATAGCTAAAGAATTTGGTAATTGCGCCTTTCACAAAACGCGAGAGATGTTTTCCATCTTTTTCTTTACAATTTGCCCACAAATCTTTATAGTATATCCTGATCCAAAGCTCCAGATATACCCAAACAGCTCTTGATATGTATGATTCACCATTTTGAATGGCATATGAAGCAGCTTTCCTAGTCTCTTCCCATTCATTAGCCTCTATCTCATTTATAGGCTTGGTCTCATGTTTTTCTAAATCTGTAAATATTTTGGCAGCTCTTGCTAGCTCTTCTGCATAAACCAGTCTGCTTTTTTCAAAAGATCTTTCTTCATCTTGAGGTATGATTGTAAGTATCAGATCAACATAAAACAAATAAATGGGAAATATGTTCTGAGTGGCACCAATTTTGAGATTTTCCATATAGTAACTTTTGAAATCAATTTGGGTCTGTTCTTTCCAAAAGGTGTACCATGTATTTTGAAACCTATAGAATTGGGAGTGCTTCTGCTTTGAGAACTGTAAATTTCTGTGTGATGATTTTGGGAGTATAACTTTTCTTGATTTATTCTTCAGGGACAAACGGTTCATCATTTGAAGATTTTTGTGCAAGTTATCTTTTTCTATGACTAGTTTAGAGGTGCCAAGACTGCTGATTAATTCCAAAATTTCAACTACATCTAACCTCTTTTCTTTCTTTAAATCTTCACAGAAAACATCACTAGTAAAGCTCAATCTGGGGAGTGTGGATTGGGGGTATCTCTCGAGATTATCAACAAAAATGTGATTTGGATTGGTTTCTCCAGAAGTGAATCCCACTGATGGATGATTGGAGTAAGAAAGCAAGAAGTTGATCTTCTCAGTTGCCTCTCTTTGGTTGATTCTACTTTCAAAACCATTTGAGTATTCTACTTTGGGACTTGCATCAAATTTTCTTTGCCATTGCGCAAAGCTTTGCTTAGAAAAATCAAAGTTTGAAAGATTCACTGATGGTACAGAATCCTGATTTGATTCCACCTCTTGATAAAATCTATGTTTTTTCTGGGGAGGATAGGGCTGGAGAGGATATTCTGGTGTCAATGGATTAAAATTTTTTCTCTTGGAATCTTTCCAAGAATGGTTTGTGTTGATCAAATTTTTCTCCTTATAAATCACATCCCCTTTAGTGTACTCTTTCATCACCGGTTCAGGTATGTGATTCCACCCCTCAGAAGTTGTTCCATGAGGGAAATAATATTCCACAGGATTTGTAATGAGCCCTCCCAAGGTTTCATAGGAATTTGATATACCACCATGGGCATTGGATTTAGGTTCCATTTCTTTCCCCTGCATGGTTTTGTACAATTCATCAACTTCCTGGGATTCAGTCATTTGATTCCTTGCATTTATGGAGGGATTGGGATGGTGCAAATTTCCCAAATGATTTGCTGTAAACATGTCAGATTCAGCAGTAGCTATTGGTGTGTGCATGAAATTTGTATTCCCTCCTTGACCAATCAAGCTTCCTGTATGTTGGAACCTATGATTTGCAAAATCTTGAAATGTTTCTCCCATCTGGTTGAAATTATTTTGTATCAACTGACCATTTGAAATTGGGTTTGCAAAGGCTTGAGGGATGTCATTAAGGGAAATATTGTTGATTGTGAAAGCTCTATCATCCCTCATTTCAAGACTGTTTCCAAGCTGTTTCCTATCAGACATTAGTAATGTAGAATAGTTAGGAAATTGCTCTGAATAGCCTACACCTGTTTGGGAAGGAGGAAATAAGAAGTTCTCAGAGTTTTGAAAGCATTCTGGATGTACTGGTTTTTCAGAGTTTTGAAGGGCTTCTGGATGTACTGTTTCTGAGGTTGAGTATCTTGGTAGGAATTGTGCCACTTGCTTCCCCTGACTAAAAAGATGTTCAACATTTCTAGGGCAAGAGTCAAAATTATCAGACTTCACATGCTGTCCACAAGAATGGAAATTGAATGCAAATTGGTTAAGATTTGTACTTGAAGTGATGATGTTTTGAAAGCTTTCCCAAGCCTCAGGATTGTCAATTGGATTATAACCGGTAATCTGTCCCATTTGTGAGCCACCATCAAAGGTTTGGATTCCTTGATGTACAAGTGGATAGCCCATCTGAGATTCAATCACGGATATCTCAGGACCTTGGTGAAAATCTGTCCAGAGCTCATGAATTTGTTGGAAGTGTGCTGGATTTACTTCTCGAATGTCCGAGTGAGATGAAGGTGGGGCGATGTTATTGTTGGTTAGGTTAATCTCGTTATCGGTCAGATGAAGCCACGACTCCGAGTTACTAGCTGTTCTTTGGAATTCAGCAATTGCACTGACTGTGAGAATAAGGGCCAAGCAGCAGCCAAGCAGAATAAAGTATCTACAGGAATTCATTTTCGATAAGCTATAGGTTGACCTCTACCAGATTGCCGACTTTTAGCCTCCACCGACCTATTCGTGGTTATCTGCCTTCTTGTTGGAGTGATACAGAAATATCGCGGTTTCGCAGGATCACCTGATGGACTGAATCCCTGCGAAAGATGATGATCGTGAAGGACTTGGAGAAAAGAGGGTTACCCGGGGATGTAGAGGTCTTGATGAGGAAAGTTTGCGCCGAAGTTAACCAAGTCCCTCTATGGGAGGGGAGCGCCGTTCCACAGGGACCCTCCCCTCCGGCAAGCCATCGGATGAAACTGCCGGAGGGACTTGGTTAAGTTAGAGTTTGCCCAATGATTCAGGCTTATTTTAGGCCTTCAAAGAGAGGAACGCTGAAACGCGTCAAGATCCTATGTAGTTCGTGGATCTATGCAACAGGCCTCTCGCTGAGCAGGTCGCAGTCGTCATTTTCGTCTCTTGTTTCGTCCGAGTACATACGATTGTTCAAGCCGTCAATCAACGTTCCACGGAGCATAGAGGGCGGGCCTTGTCTTCCGGGCCGATCTCAAGCTTGATCGTGTTAATTGAGGTGGGCGCAGTGTTAAGAACACGGTGGAACCTTCAACCAAAGGAAGCATGCTAGCTTAACACAATCCCCTCGTTTCAGAGGGTCGGGGAAACCATATAAATATGTACAACAAAGCTTCAAGTATCATGCCGAAAAGATTTGCATCAGTACAACAGTTTATGTCCCAAGCCTTCAAGCCTCTCAGACGGAGGGCTCCGAAGGCGCATATGTCCCCGGGCGGACGCCTTCCTCACGGCCGGCGCAACATGAAAGACCTCCTTTGGATGGGATATGGCAAGTCTAGACAAATTCTGGTGGTTGACAGTGTATATGTCCTCCAAAAATTTGCAAATATTCTTGGCTGGTAAAGCGGTCTACAGCATCATTACTGCCCCTTAGGTCTAAGATGGAATGGTTGAAAGGTTGACCAGGCCTCCCTTTCCGGAACTGTTCAAGCAGTACATGGGCCAAGGAGAACAAGGGAAAGGCTAGCTGGAAATTCTTCCGAGACTGGCACATTTTGCAAGTCGACTCTACAAAACCTAGTGGAGGTTGGGAGTTGGGCCCCCAATGAAACCGGAGTTTTGTTTTTTGCTTTTTGATTGGATCAATGACTGGGATGATTCCTCCCAGCCCTTGATTCCGTTTGGTCTCGATATTGGCTTGTATGTAGATCAGGATAGTAAAACAAAGATTGTGGTAGAACAACATGCACAAGATAAATTAAGCAGAAGAGCAATAATCTGGATGCTTCAATTGTTGAGGAAACGTGGATTGAAAGTTAATCAGATGCTGAGGTTAATGAATCAGCCTTTTACAGACAAGATATTGAACGTTGGATTGCAAGATGGAAAAGAGGATGATCATCAAGAGCTTAAAGCTTGGCAGAGGCGGCAGATGAGTTGATTTTCTTGGTTTTCTGAAGCCACCAACGGACACCAGGGTTAGAGAGCTGTGAATCAGAGATCTTGAAGGATTGTTGGTTCAAACCGACTTCGAATAACTCGACCAAGTCCTCCTGAAACCTGATCAAATCCCAACATGTGTCCAAGAACTTGGTCGTCTCTTCTTCAGTTTCATCATAATTTAGCTCGCCGATCTCGCATATCAGTAACTTGTATAGTTTTTTCCTTTGGTCATTCTGGTGGTTATGGCTTTGATCATTGACTGTCTTGTCATTTTTTGGACCATTCTCCTCAGTAGGCTGAATCATCCGAACGGGTGGATCGAGCATCTTGATGGATTCGATTAATTTCGATGTTAACTCTTCAGTTTTAGAGCGTGAATGTTTCGACACCGACTTGAGCAAATTTTTCCATGCGACTTTCTGTTGGTCGAAACTCAAAACGGATGATTGATCTAGTGATATGTCCTAAACGCATAGAGAAGTGAGGACAGAAAAAAATTGATGAGTTTGGATAAGAGGTTACAGTTTTGGAAGTCTAGAAGACAAATTACTCAACCTGAATTAATATTTCAAAGTATTTGTTGGCCAAACTCATGACAATATCCTTCGAGCAGAATTCCAGGACGCTCAATAAGGCAAGATGGGCGTAAAAACCAACTTGAGCTCGGTTGATGAAGGCCCAAACCAAGGGCACGACGGTTTGCTCGAGATACTCCTCTTGAATGACTGATCCAGTTAATCTTTCGATGAGATTGAAGTAGAAAACAACTCGTGATATTCGCACAGGATCCCTTACATCTTGTGGCTCTAAAACCCAGAGGTAATGATTGTCAGTTTTGAGCCAGAGGATTTATTTCGTTGAGTTCTGTTGGATATTGGTGCAACTGACCCATCAGAGAAGGTTGGCATTCCTTCAAAATAAGGTTCGCAAGTCCGGGGTGTGGTTTGAGAAGTGTAGCGAGTGTATCAAAAACGGCGGCATGTGTTGAAAGCTTGTCGGATGAAAATCTCAGAGTGATGAAGTGGACCTGGCTTAAGATCCGGAATGCAGGCGACAGGATAGCTTCCGCCATCGAATTTGAGAAGCCCCGAATTGCAAGCTTGTTGACAAGGCCGCCAAGGATCAACAGGCAGGAGAAAAAGATATTCCTGAGCCATCGATCGGTCTGATTTTCTTTCGTCGAGATGGAGTTTTCCTTGAATTCAGGGAGATGGACTTGATCATAAGACCTCGTTGCTGTGAGCCAGCTCCCATGGATCTCTTCGGTCAAATCGGCTAGACTTGTAAGATCGGCTGAAAAGGATTTCAGATCAGAGGTCTTGGTGGTGTGTTCAATCAACCGAGAGATGCTTAATGAGATCGATAAGACGATTTGTGCCAGTACATCATTGGAAATGTTTTTGAGAACTTCGTCGGTAGTTGATTGGGGGCGAAGGTTGACGGAATGAGGGGTCAGATCGAGACTTGTGGACAAATGATTGAACAGATGACCATTTACGAATACTCTGAATAGCGATTTGGCGAGGTGGTAATTGATATCCTAAGCAACATTCACCTTCAAAGGTCAGAGGTCCGGATTAAGCTTGGAGAGTGAATCGAGCCTCAAAAATGGTAAATAAGCAGAACGACGCACGTTCGTTCCCGACTCTGCCAAATTGATTGGAGTGATTGATGGAATGATTTGTACCGCCAACCAGGTAATTGCTGAATCTCGATCAAAAGAAGTGACGGGTTGCACATTCGATGTAGCTGACTGGGTCTGATGAATTGAACGCTTGATGAACTTGATACAGTCTCGTTCGATGAGGCTTTGCAGACGCAGGGATGCCGACGTAAGATCGAATGATTTGATTGATATAAGCAAGGCCGCCATCAAGCAGAGTTGCCGGAGGTCGAAGTAGGAGAACTGTCCCGCTCTGGAATTTTCATCTGCACCTCCGACTACGACGGCTCTCCAGCGTTCAATAAATTTGGTGGTTGATGGCTTCAATTGAAGACGATTTTGATGGGCATCATCAGGGCCAGTAAGGACCGGAAAAGTCGAAAGGTTCGAATGTTGTGGTAAACTTGATCGGTGGAACTTGGTTGAGCAAGCGAATTTGAGTTTCAGAAAAATGGACAGGAAGGGTTCGATGGCCTTCTTCTTCGTGGAATCGTCACCGCCATTATCTTTATCAACCACCACATCTCGGTTGGCCGACCCACGTACGCCGATCGACCATAACCGAGGAGAATGAAGGATGGCCATGATGAGTTGATCGACCAAAGACGGTCTGATATGTATGATCAGTTGGCCCAGGTTCTCGAGCATCCTTTCATCCTGGTCGTCATCCTCCTTGCATCCATCCTGGCTTGGAGATAGCAGCCAACTCATGACATCGATATAGATCACCCCATCGTCCACGTTTTCCATGTTTTTGCGTGCTCTGAATCGATCCAAATCAGAAAAGAAGTCAGTCGAAGGTATAACTCCATGGATCCGGAATGGTTATAAGGAGAGACGGAAAATGTCTCGCACATTACCTTCGGAGTTTTTTATGGTTCAAAGTTGAAACTCACCAAGCTCATGATACCCGCCCGCCCCTGGTCCCTCCTCCTTTCTCTGATACGCCCGCGCCTGACGCCTCTGCTACTTTTGCAGCTATCAAGCACCAGGCTACATACACCTATCCTTACTCAAGAGGAACTATGGAAACACACACATTAACTCAACCCACATCCTGGTCCTGGACAACATAGCCGGATCAAAAATAGCCAAGAGTTGACGACCCATCCGCTTAACCCTATATCTGCTCAACCCCGGCCCACACCCAGATCGAGCTTAACAAGGGCTCTCCACTCGAGAGCCTTCCTCCGGAGACATATACAAAGGCCCGAGGCCGGACTTTGTTAAGTTTGCGCACTGAGGTCGCCTGATACATACAACTGCGAAAAAGCGGTCGGGGTATAGTCAGCACAAAGTACATATGTAACAAAATATAACATCCTGGAAGTATACTCTGATACAGCCTTCTTATGTACCGGTGTTAGGCAAAAAAAGAAAAGGCTACGACAGCTGCCTCGGTCTCAGCGAAGAGGCCTGTTAATTTCTCATGCAGGACTCTCAATCAAACTGGCGGTGACCTGCGGTGCCTTCAGTCTTGTCCCAGCATCAGATCATTTATCACAAGTAATTACATAAAAATATCCAGAGCAGGCCTTGTTTCATTGTTTGTATCTCTCCTTCAAGCTTCCTGGTGTCGGTGATGCTTAAAATGGGCTCAGCCTCATGGATCCATGGGTTCATTTCCCGGATCAAGTCTTCCACATCCGAGGGGCCGGCCACTGGTCTTTCCATCGCCCTAATTCACATTCATCATATGGGGGCGTATTTGATCAATTCATTAGAATATTGCAAAAATCGAAAAGATTTGTCCATCACTTTTACAACGAGGAAAATAAACAAAACCAGTGGGGTAGAAATGGATAGCTCAGGAAGCATGAGTTTGCAGAGAGTTTACCTTCTTCTTGGCTTCTTGGCCCTCATGTTCACTGCGTCTGCTGAATTCACGAGAAGCACTGGTCGCTCGAACCCCTACGGGCCTCATCCAATCGAGTATGAAATTGATGCCACCAAGATTGCCCCACCTCCATCTCAACTAGACAAGCAAGCAAGAAATCCACCACCCATGATCCACTCTACTGAATTCTTGCCTGACTCTCACCAATACCATGATAGCTCATTCACTCATGGGTCTAGCACATTGGCCGACAGTCTTCAAATGGGAGCAAAAACAACATATCCAATCAACAGCCTTGAACCCATCGATGCTTTGCAGAATATCATGTCCACAAGTTCAAAGGGGCAACATGATTTTGATTCTCCTGATCAGCTTACAAATTCCTTGGGAAATCCCAATTATCTTAGAGAGATTGAGGACCTCCTTGGCCTCCAGGAGGATGTTGCAAAATTCCCATCAAGTGAAACTAGTTACCAAATTCCGAATCCAAACACCTTTCAAAGCTCTGTCAACTTCTTATACCCTCCTTCCCCAAAAAGTATAAGATATCCAGAGGAATTTCCCAGCTATCCAAAACTAGATTACTCAGGCCAAAATGCATTGAATAGCAATGTTGAAAAGAGGGATGATACAAACCTACCTAGAAACAGCTACCCTTCAAATAAACATTCAGAAGTTTTCTCAGTCCCCATTTCAAACAAAAGTTTGATACCAAATCATTCTTACCATCTGGAAAATGAATTTATAGACATGTGGAATGCTGGGTGTCAATCATCAGCCCAGATTGGTGATCAAGAAAGAAATCCATATGCTCTTTACACACAGGTTCAACTTAAGAACAAAGCATTGGAAGAAAATGCTTCCAGAAAGTTTCAACCTTCCAATCCCTCCACAGATTTCACAAATCAGGTCACTGAGGACTGGAGATTTGATGAGCTGTACAAAATTCTAGAGGCAGAAATTCAACCTCCAACCAAAAGTTCCAGCCAAACAATTCACCAAAACCTCTTTGATCACCCTGCACAATTTATTTCAGATTCCACAGAGGAATATGTTTCCCCAGCTTCATCCTATAAGGAAGATTTCATGCAAGCCAAGCTTAAAGCTCAACTATTACACAATAATGAAATTCAGGAAAGACCAAATTTGCAAAAAATTCAAAATTATCAGAAGGGTATCAAAAGAAAGATTTCCAATTTTTCAGAACCAGGGAGTTCTGTTAATGAAATTGTTGGAAACAGGCAAAGCAAACCAAATTCAGACCCATTGAGGAAATCTTCAAATGAGTTTCAAAAGAAAAATAAAATACAAAGGGAAAACAAACAGATTGAACAATTAAATTCTTCATCAAATGAACCATTGAATACTCAAAATGTAATAGAAACTGAAAACCTTCAAGTGTTTGAGAAATATATTGAGAGTAATACTGATCCTAAGCTTCCCATATTAAGATTTACTCAAGATGTTTTCAGTGCAAATCCAGCGGAAGAAAAAAGATATGATGTGATTGGAATCCTAAAATTAATGAGGATCCTTAAGAAAGAAAAACTGATCATTCACAAAGATAATTTGAAAGAGTCTTTCAAACATGTCACAATGTTTTATTCAAATAAAGGAGTCATAAAACAGATACCATTGCCAACAGGAGAATTGGAAAGTTCATATTTGGATGTTGCTACAGATAAAAGAGCTCATTTTCATACTGTTGAAGATACATGGTACATATACTGGAAAGATCAAACCCAAATAAATTTCAAAAGATACTGTCTAGAAAACATGCAAAGAGCTGACACTCAAGTGATGTTTCCCCTTTATTTATTTCATGTCAACTTGATACTTGCAATCATACCTTGGACTACAGAAGACAGTGAGGAATTACAAGAAAGGTTACACCTTGCACAAGAACTGAAAAAAGCTGCCCAGTTATTTTCAGATTTGAGCAATGGAAAGAGCAATTCACAGGGAATCACGGCTGATGAATGGGAAAAAGCCAGAAAAGTTCTGAGATCAAAAATCAACACAAACAAGAATAATTTCAACACAGCTCTTTGGGCAATATTGGAGCTTTGGATGAAAATACACTACAAGGAATTCTGGAATATGTATAAGGAAAAGACCAGAAATCATATCCAGATTTTTGTCAAGGCATTCATTGGAAAATTATATTCCTATTCAATTGAAGATTTGAGCAAAAAATATTCCACATTAATTCAAGAAGCACAATTAACTCTATGACCATCCCACAATCATTGTCCTAAAAAATGATTTACTTCATTGGTTTCCTATTCCCAATGAGTTTCTTTTTTTCTTGGATTGTTTTATATACTTATCCTGTGCTCTAATACCTTTCACAAAAGAGTATTAACTACAACCTATTCTATATTTTCAAAAGAAAAAAAACACCATGTTTTCATTCCTCTATATTCTTAGACTCATCAGTTATGAAATATTTGAACTCCCACTCTCCTGTCATATCTATTCCAAACACTTAAGGGTCCATCTACTCTCAAAACATTCAAAGTGCCCCCCCCACTTGTAAGCAGTTCCATACAGTGTGGACCCACTGTTGCTCCACACAATTCATGTGGGTTTGCACACCAATTTGGGATTACAGGAGGTTTCACCTGCCACTGAATGGCCATACCAAAAGCCTCTGAATTGGATTACTCATAGCCCATCAGGTTACTTGACCTGATCAACCAGAGTAAAATCATTGCATTAATCAGGCTATAATGCTCAATGCCATTCACTCAGGTTACAAAGCCTCATTCAATGAGAAAGATTGATTCTGAATGATCAGGTTATAGAAAACAGGGGACATATATGGCTCACTGAATGAAAAGTGAAATGAAGGTAAGTTCAGCATACTACCCATTCTTTACTCAGTTCAAATGTATTTCAGCCACCTGTAGCACCCAAAGGTGCCATTCTAGTTGGCTTTCAGTAGCACAGGAGATATAGTAGAGTAATGATCAATCTTCCATGATTTCAAATCTAATCCAATTTCATGGTTAAAACTGATGTACAAGGAGAAACTTCTCCCAGTTTTTCAAGTTTTGAAAACCAAAAAAACAAGAGGGAGTCTGCCCATTTGGCCAGGTGTTTGCACTTCCAGCATAATTAGGGGGGTTGAGTGTACTTAAGTTGAACTGGTATGGACTCAACCAATTTATAATGGGTTGATCTGAACCAATGGGATATAAATCCTGATATTCAACTTTTTGATATTCATTCAATGAAAGTGCTAAAACTGGATAAACCAGAAGACACTCATCTCAGCTAAACATTCTGCAAAAACTTATCAGCCAGTAGACACTAGCCTGGTCACAAATCAGTCAACCATGAAAATTGGGTGATAAAATTTAAATCTTGTGCCAAGTGGCTGCAATTATCATTATGTTTTTATGTGGATCAAAATTGGGTCTCCAACGCCATATCTAAACTTTAAGGATTGATATTTCCAAGGGGTCCATTACCCTTCAAATTGCAATTCAGAATTACATGGGAGAGAAGGCAATAGTATCAACGGTGGGCCAGTTACGCTAACCGTAGTGTTAGTGTAGCGTAGTGTTAGCTTTTTAAGCTACGCTACACAAAAGTTACCGTTAGCGGGAATTTTTGGCCCACTAACACTACAGGATTTTTGAAAAAACAAAAAAAAACTTTAGCGTAGTGTTAGCTGCCTTTAAAAAGGTACAACTAACACTACCCAAAATCCTGTTAGTGAAATTTTAGCGGTGTTAGTGGGTGAACCCACTACGCTACATGTTAGTGTAACTTTTTGCAAAGTTACACTAACAGTTAGCGTAACTGGTGAAAAAGTTACACTAACTGTTAGCGTAACTGATTAAAAGTTACACTAACTGTTAGCGTAACTGAATAAAAGTTACACTAACTGTTAGCGTAACTGATTAAAAGTTACACTAACTGTTAGTGTAACTGATTATGTAGTTGGAATAATATGTAGGTTACCTCAGACATAGTAGAATAAGGACCTCAAAAAGTGTTTTTCAGATAATTACTTGGGAAAAAAGCAAAAAAAAAACCAAGTAATCATACTGTAAGAGGACAAATTATCAACTAAAAATCAACAAATATGGATGGATATTTTTTCTTCTGGATAGGCGTGGTTAAGAATGAGGGATGAAAAGAACTACTCATATTGAACTTTTTTTTTCTGGTAAGATTAGGTATTAGTGAAAATAAGAAATTGATTTTTTTTTGCTTTGATTTTTTTATACTAAGATTTTTTTTTGCTTACAGATGAGTGATAAAAAGAATACTAGTGGTTAAAAAGCAAAAGAAAGAAAAGGTGGGAAAAAATCTACTTTTTTCTTTGGGAATAGTCAATGTACGAAGAAACAACTGTTTGTGCTTTGGTGAAATCTCCAGCAACTTTAATACCATGTTTTAACCACATATGGCTACTAACACACCTTTCAATTGTCCGGGGTTTCAAACTCCCTCGGCCAGTTGAACAAACATCAGCAGCTGAAGAAAAGGTACGCTCAACTGCACATGAGGATGCAGAGGATGCTAAGTAGTCCTTGGCCAGTGATCCAAGAACCGGGTAGGTGGTTGAATGATCCTGAACAAGATGAATAATCAAATTATGATTAGAGTAATTACCAAATGAGTATGATCAAAGAAGGTAACTTTATACCTTCCACCAAATTAAAATGCTCTTGGGATCGTTTGAGGCAGGCAATGGTAGTCGATCCATGTTGTTGATATACACCTCGAGCTCTTTGCTTTCGTCGGTTCTTGCAGGTGCATTGAACATTTCAAAGATATCATTTTGCTCGACCGGGGGGGCTTCTTTCTCGACAAGTTGGATATTATCTTCTTTCTGTTTCTTCAGATCCTCCACACGTTTTGCAAATTCTTTCTCCAGAAGTTTTCTCGCAAAGTCCGCTTTTTCAGGCCAGCAATGGGTGAAGGCCTTCAGCCGTAATTTGGGGTGGAGCAAAGTCGCCATAATGAGAGTATGACACTCGAGTGCCTCGTTTTCGTAGGTCTGTAGTTTCTTGATCATTTTGACATACATCGGATGCATCGGGTGACCTCGGTTGCAGGCATCCTCCTTATTTTTCAATTCTGAGATTATTTTATAATAGTTTGGTAAGATGAAAGCACCGGTAGGACCATCGCCCTCCATAAGTTTGGTCAGGCGGTTGAATGGCTGAAAAAAACAAATGAGCATTTCAGATAAAACCTTATATATAATAATAAAAAGGACTTACTTCTAATTCTTCATTCAGTTCATTAATCATCGCCCATTCCTTCTTTGTGAACTGGATCTCCTTGAAGTGACCAAGCTTCTTGGGATTTTCCTTGCGGCTTGATTTGGACCGTTGTTGTTTATATTTGTCATACTCATCATGGAGTATTGCATCAATGACCTAGATTGGCAAATATTAATCAACAAGTTTTGTAGAAAGATGGATAAATAACATACTTCTCTGGCTTCATAGGCACGAGTTCGGCTTTCATATATTATATTCCAACGGATACCATAGCCAGCAATCAGATTTTTTAATCCTTTTCCAGCTGCTCGTCGCTCAAATTCCTGTCTCCAGGCACATGATCCGGTAATTTTCTTAACTACAAAGTCCAACTATGTACATCATTTAAACTTGTCAGTAGGTCACTCAAAAATAATATCAGAGATGTAATCACTCACTGCCGTAACCAAATCATTCAAGTCATTCGAATTATTCCTGTTGGCC